GAGAGAGAGAGAGAGAGAGAGAGAGAGATGGAGCTATCAGATTCTTGCTCCCGCATTTTAACTTCCACAAAACAGCTCATAGCAACAATTTTCTGGTCTTATTTTTCCCCCAATTGGTGCATGTTCCTGGGGGCAGAGAGAAATACAACAGAAGGGGTTTCCGCCTATGTCAGACAGGCTCTATAAAGCAGAGTGAGGTAAGGGCTGAAGAAATATAGTGGCGGTGTTCCCGGGGCCACCCTGGAGGGCATGTGAAGGTCATTTTAGATTATTTGGGGGGCATATTACACACCTTATCTGGAGTTTATTCATCAGTTCTTTCCCTCATGCTCCACCTAAGCCCCCAACCTGAGGAGACAGTTTCCCTTTGCAGACTATTCAGAGACTCAGAAGAGCTGTTCTTAAAGCCAGCGAAAGTCTGGAATTCTTCACTGTTCTCACTGGGAGGCCCACAGAGACCGGCATTCCAGAACTAATAATTCTGCTTGGACCCTCCCTTTCACTTCTTCTCTGGCTTCAATTAATTGCTTAGACTTACAGCCAGCAGCCAAAGCCAGGGAACAGAGGAGAGCGAACCCACCAAGGGGTGAAAACAGCCTAAATGCTTCTCCTTGTTCAACAAGGTATCATAAAACACAAGTTTTGACCTTTCCCTCCACTTAATGTATTTTTTTTTCATGATATAGAAAGGGTGTTATTTAGTAGTTGAAATTTTTTAAAGGAAAAAATAGAATTTAAAGAGTCTTTTAAAGAAAGCTCTTAGAATTTCAAGTTTTAGTTAAGTTAGAAACTAACCTTTCACCCCTCTCCTACTGGGATCCACACATCTTCAAGTCCAGGCTATAGTTCCAGGTCCTCCCACCGTGGCCTTGAACAACTGCATCCTTATCATTGTTTGCATCCTTGGAAGCAAATGGCATGTTCTCCCTGCCTTGTGCAGTGAGCCTCTGCTTCATGCATACATGCCTGGCTTCCCTGGGTACATTGCAAGCTCTGTAAGGACAAAGCCAGTATCATGTATATCTTTATAACTCCACTGACAGCACCTAGCACTCAGTAAGTGGCTGATGAATGAAACCCAATTCAAAACATAAAATGTACACAGCTCAGAGTCTCATGGAAATTTTTCTCCGCCATGATAGCTCATCCAGCTGGGCAGTGTGGAGAGGGGACCCATCCTGGAGTTCAGGTGGTAAAAATTCAGGACTAAGCATTGTGACCGTTGCAGCTAGGAAATCCCTCTAACCTCTTGGCACCTTGTTCTCGCTGGAAAATGAGGTGCTCTTCACTCACTCAATGCTGTTCTTCTCCCTTACGCATCTGAATAAAATGAGAAATGTAGGATGTGCATTTTATTTGTGAAGCATATACCTCAAAAAATTAAATCACTTCCATATTGGCTTTCCAAATATCAGCATGGCTAAATGGAGAACGAAAAACCAGGACAAGGGATGTAGCAAAATATTTGTTTTCCATTTCCTTCTTTTATCTAGCTGAAATTCTTACAAAGGTACAATGATGAAATTAAACTTAGCTATTCATTTAAAATTGACGCTGTCCCAGAAAATCTGGCATGTTCAGTCATGGTGTAAAAACCATAAATAACACTTTTATAATTTAAGCAGGAAGATTTCCACTTCCAAGAGAAAGCAGGATTAAGTTTGGGGCCTTCACACTATTCCTCTGTCCCCCCTAAAAAAAAAAAAAAAGGGGAAATAAACTAAATTGTAAGAACACTCTTGAGCACCTATCAAAGGTTCAGTTGTCCTCAAAGGAAAATGAAAACATTTCAAGTGATTTTGTAAAATGCTTTGTTTAAAACAGCATGTCCTTACATGTGCTGTTGCCTTCTAGGTTTACGAGGATTTATGGGTGAAATCAGCTTTTTGCAGTTGACCCTGGGCATATTCCTCCCCATCATCAACTTCTGAGAGAAAGAGAGAGAGAGAGAGAGAGAGAGAGAGAGAGAGAGAGAGAGAGAGAGAGAGAGCGCTCCACAAACAGTTGTTTATGTCAGTGCCTTTTAAACTGCCTGGTCATAAAATATTCTCTTTGAGAGAAGGATGATCCCTTTGTGTCCCATAGATCACCTGCTTAATTCTGAGAGTTAGAGATGCATATTAAGTATGCAGATTCTGCTGGCACTTGCACTTGTATTAAATATCGGCTCCATACAATTTAAATTCATTGGGGTATGAAACGTACCAAATTCCATTTTGTAGGCAATACCCTGGTAAAGTAGTCCATTTTGATTTAACAGTTTCAGTGCGTTAGCGGTTTGAAAGGCTTTTTGGGTTTCATGTTCCATTTTGAGTAATTAAGGCAAGAATGTGGGATTTTTTTATTAAAAACAAATTAAATAGCAGCCGCTGGAACTGCCATCTTTCTTGTGAGTAACCACTTGCTACAATGAATTACCCTGACCTGCAGTGGGAGGCTGGAGAAACCCTGTGTTTACCCTTCTGTTTATATCATTTTCTCAGTTATCATTTATTTATGCCAAATTCTGTTCCTAAAAGGGAGAAGAGGAGAATAAATCTAGGCAATGCCAAGAAAGAAGGAAATGTGTGAAAACAGGAGAAAAAAAAAAAAAGAGTGACTTTCAACACTACATCTTTGCTAACTGAGTTGAGCCACACAATACTATTTTAGTGAAAATATGGTATTAGCAGGATTTCTTAAAACTAGCACTAGATGAATGGAAGATTTTTCAGAAAACTTCTCCCAGCACAGATTCCTAATGAGAGAGACTTGGAGGAACATACAGCTTTCTGTTCTGGCTGATGGCTGTTGTGAAACTTTATGTAATCCAATTCCCTCCCCTGCCACCCACCCACTCCACCCCCCAAATCAAACCTGTGGAGCCAGTGACATTTCAACTAAGTACAAAAGGGGATTGTGGTTGCCAAGAAGGTGTCAGTCACCGTGAACCATTCTTCATGATTTCATTAATTACTAATGAGTCTTCAGAAAGTTGGCATTAACATAGACAGGGCTTCGTGAGGTTTGAACACAGTACGGAATATTTTATTATTTAAAACACCCTGCTAAATAAAAGCAGGTGAGTCTGTTGGTTCAAGTCATTATTATATTTAGTAGTGAGCCTGAGTTGTAAATAACCTGAAAAGCAAAAGAGAGACAGATAGACAGAGATTTGCAAGACTAAATTGCCCACCTAAATTCTGTTGTGCTTCGGTTAAATTCTTCATAAGAAATATAGTGCTGAAAGAGGTCATTAAATATCGTCCAGCAATATACCAATTGACAGAAGTTGGAGAACTGAATTAAGAAGGTCAGCATGCCTTCTACGAGGCTGGCAGATCACATGTGGCATGAAGGGCCCTTCCAGAATAAAGGTCTGCACACACGGATATGACTGCTGGACCCACTGCCTGCCAGGACTCGTATCTTAACATAGAAGTCTACTCAAAAGGACACAATGAACATGTTTACAATACCTGTCATCATTTTTTCATTTATAAGTCAGAGTAATAATAATTATTGCTAGGGCTATTGAGGAAATGATGACAAATCAACCTACAAATGACTACACAAATGTCCTACCACTTGATATTAAGCAATGCCTTCCTTGGCATGGACCAATATTAATGTGACATATAAACACGTTGCTCTAGTCAGGATGTCACCTCTTGGAATAGGACCAGAAGATATTCAGAGGGGCAGAAAAAATGCTCCAGACACAGGGCACAGCTTAAAGCAATGAGGTTTCATTTCCTATTGTCTAAGGAAATTCTCAAACTGTCCCATTCATATACACCACATTAAAGACAGTACCCGGGGGTGTGAAGGTGTCATCCAAATGATCTGCTACAAGCCATAACTTCTTAAAATATGCATATTTTATTGTTAAAGTCATGCCAATTTTGTATTCTATTCCAAAATAGATCCATATTTGCTTTAGCACAGGACTTAAAGAATGATTTGCTCCAAATGTCTGTGTAGCATTGAGTCTCCAGGAAGATGCTCCATGTTTATGAGTAGGCTGGGGATTGAGAAACACAGGCCTAAAGCCTCTAGTCTGCCCTCTGCCTGGCTTCCACAGTTAGATGAGATCTGGCTTCATCCCAACTGTCTAACCTCTTCTACCTTCATCCTCATGTCCCATCACTGCCTTCCCGTAAGCATGCTCATTCCAGCGTCCTGACCTTCCCCTGGCTGCTCCAGTGCCCACATCCCCACCCCCGCACACCCTGCCTTCTCCTAATAAGACTGCAATATCCTTCAGGGCCCAGCCACATTTCTCCTTCCCTCACTACTCTTGTTCCACTACTCCTGTTCACACTGCTGTTTCTATTTTACCCTGCACTACACAAGTCAAATTAGTTACATTTTTGTTCGAATTTTCATTATAGTTTCCATACGGCCATTTTCATATCTGCTACTACATGTTACGTTTCTTTGGTAGCTTTACCATCACCCTCAAAGACAACACCCCCATTCACAATGATACCCACAGCAGTCAGTGCTAGACAAACACTATGAAATCCCAACAATGAATGGTTAATAACAAAGTAGACAGATGTACTTCGTACATGGCTAGAAGAAATGGTCTATTAACAAAAGGATAGACTCTTCAGGTAACATCTAATGCAAGATCAATCCTGACCTGTTCGAAATA